ATAAAAGCTAACTCGGGTATTTTCATATAAAGATTTTTTAACTCGGGTCGAGTTCATATATATCTAAAAACCCGACCTGACCCGTCTGGCCGGAGCACTACCACATGCACAATACATGTACATGTTTTGGTCCAAGATAAAATTATGACATAATTATTACATGCATTATGTGATGTATGCAATATTATTGGTTGCATTATATATAATGCTATATTACATCGAAACAAAATCATGTGATTGGCGAGTTATGACTTTAGACGTCCTGCACCATAGAAACTTAATTGGTTTTATTAAAGAAATTGGACAAAATTAAGGTTTAGATTTTCTTCAGGTACTCATGATTACATTAAATTTGTTTATTAGATTACTGCGATGTATGTAATTACGAATGGTCTAGTGGAATAACGATATCGGCTGTTTAATAAAAAATGCAACAATGACTGTGGATTTTTTGAATGGATCCCTTTTGAAGCTTTAACAATGTTGAATATCTTGCAAAAGAAGGTCTAGGATCAATTTATAAAGCATCTTGGTTGGAATGACGAATGGGATCATGTAGATAATAAATTTAAACGATGGGGAGAACGCAAAGTTGTATTGAAATTATTATAGAATTCAAAGCAAAGTACATTAGATTTATAAACATGAATATTTCTAAAGTGTAAGCATATTGCTTTTTTGTTTTTCAATATAATTAACTTTTGCAAAATTAAATTCAGATTGCTCTAAAATGTAAATCAGTTTTTTCAATTTATCCAAGAGCTTGATGACGAGATGAATATACAAAAAGCATTCCTATGAATACGAATGAAAAACAAGAAATTCAATAATACAGATGCCCTTTATACTGTAATCATATCGACGATATTAATTAATATTATGTCGAATATTAGACTCTTCAAGTGTCAATTTGTATGTTCCAAACGAAGGTATTTTTTCATTAAATTCTTTAATTCAATATTTTTTCTTTGGTGCAAAACAGATGCTAATCTCAGTATACCATTTGAACCCAATGAGAATGATGATATATCGAGTGTCTTGCAGGAAAAACTATATACTCATGATGAAACACTTCCAACAAAGTACATGTAAAACAATAAAAAAAGAAAATGGTGACTATTTTACTTTATTCTTTACACTTTTTTAAAGTTATCTTTAATTTATTAAAAAAATGAGTCTGAGGTTATCATTAAATCGATAGTAACTGTGTTGCGATTTAAAGCACAACGACCAAAAGCGATTTCTATTGTTTATCAACTTCTTTGTGTTTACGCATTAATATCGAGATACAATACCGGTACTGTATTTATCGTATCGTAATGATATATCCCAATACCATAAATTTCATTCTCTGTCTCGTAGAATTGGACGAAGGGAAATGATAGTTCTATCGTAACAGTAACGTCCGTCAATTTACGCAAAAAAATGTATTGTAGAGATTATCATTATGTCATTCTCGAGTCATGAAATTTTCCAGAGACACTATATTAAATCATTATTGCAGGAAGTGAAGACCATAAGGCCACACCCAGTCCGTAAATCTTCTATCCTTTCGCAGAACTAGATCTCTAAAATAATTGAGTGGATCGACGAAGATAAACAAAAAATAAATCAATTGAATGGAAGCTGTTACTGCGAGATAGTCGTGATGGATTTAAGAGTACTGACTTTCATCGTTTGTGTGATAATAAACGTCCAATAGTTGTTGTCATTCACGTAAAAGATAGTCAAGAGATTATTGGTGGCTATACCGTAGAGCACTGCCTACAGTATCTCCGATATTATTTAAAAATACTTAATTTTTATATTGAATAGTACTGATACTATCATAGTTTCAAGGGTACTTTACTCGGACAGGCGGGGATATTGTAGACAGTGTTCTACGGTAATCCGTTTTAACAAATAATAAATAGATTTTTATTTCTGATGACATTCAAGTTAACAATAGAGTGCAAATACGAAAAAGGTTGAGTGTGGTGTGCGAAGTAAATCAAGGTCCAGTTTTTGGAGATAGTCATGATTTAGCTTTGGTTGGTCCCGATTTTAATATGTGTGCTCCTAATAATTCCTGTAAACCTTCTGACCAATCAAAATAATAGCTAAAATCACATGTACAAATCCTATTCCGACGTCATTAAAAATCTAGTACATGTGTTTGATTAGCTGAAGGCCATATGAGAAAAGTGTATAATTTTAAATATGTACCTCTAGTAAAAATTATGCAAAAAATAAACTGATAAAGCTTGACTTGACCTAGTTTTTTTATGGTTTAGTTTGCCAAATTGTCATTTGTCAAAAGATTCGTCGTTCGCCACTTGCATTTCCAAAGTGACCATGGCGAAAGGTTTCGTGAAAATCAATACATGAACATGTTTTGATACATGTATTATTATTATTGATATTTAAATACGTATGCATTTTGTGCAGGCATCAACTGGTATTTTATTGGTCAGAAGGTTTCATCATAGGTTTCGTCAGGTATCAAACATTTTCAAAATGGTCGTGACGAAAGGTTCGTCAAATTGATGTGACGAAAGGTTTCGTCATCATCAAGTATCATTAATCACAAATAATCCAGTAAAGCAAAAGTCCAATAAGTTGTTTGACTTTTTTCATATTCCATTTTACGATGATTTTCAAGATGACATTTTATTATACTAATTCCAGTTTTATTGCTATACCCTACCCTATAAAAAAAATGTCCAAATTGTTTGTTCAACATTATTTTACAACATTCATGTAACAATCATTCAACAAAAGTAGCAATTTTTCGTGTGATAAATGTTGAACATTTTATTTAATAATCAATCAAATCGCGTAACAGAAAAATTCAAAACCAACGTCTGTTTTCGAAAAATAGCTTGTATCTCGAAATTTTGTCTATGAAACCGTTTCTGATGTTCTAACAAAAAAAGATTCTTTGTGAATTTTACTATATAATCTAACGCGCGTTATAATATAACCTTAACTCTAACCTTATTCCTAACCATAATCGAAATGGTATTAATATTTTATATTTTGTAATTTGATTGGTTACTCCTAAAAATCATGTATCTGAAATTTATGGCTAGGTTACTAGTACAAAAGTCGAAAGTTTATATTCAACATTCGTTCAATACTTTTGTTGAATGATTGTTGTATGAATGTTGAAAAATAATGTTGAACAAAACAATTTGGACATAGTTGAACATTTTTTTTATAGGGTTAAGTTAATGATCCGGTTCAGTTTAATGATGAAAAGACTTGATAGAACCACTAGTTCACATTTTTTTGAACGATTTATTAAAAACTGCGTTTGAACCAGTTCATATGGACTTCTTAACATTCCTACTCTGGACTCGTATAAGGACGTACTCAGATTTTTCTAGATCTGCTGGTTTGGCAAGTACATTGTTACCGTTACCGTTTGTGTACGACAATTTCGTAAATGAACTGTCTGTTACCGTACGCGTAGTGACGTTAAATCCTTTAATTCCATAATTTTTATTCTTAATTTTTACATGAATATCCTTTTGCAATCTCCTTTAAACGATTCCTACATGATAATCCTACCCTAATTAACGTAATTCGTATTGTAAGCCAAATTTAGAAATATTCCATTATGAATGAACATTGCTTTTTTTCTTGTGTCATAAACATTCCCATCGTTCTTCAATATTAACACACGTAACGATAGTGATTATCTAGAGGACGACAATTATCTGGACAATTGAAAGACATCGAACGATTGATTTTAGAAAACTTCAAGAGAAACAATCATTGTAACCTTATAATTAGCGTAGTAATTCGAAACTGTATATATAAATTACTTTTGAGTCTCTGAGAAGACATGCTTTGATCGAAATAAAATAACAAAGTTCTTACTCAAAATAATAATATTACTTGTGAATACACTATTATTTTATTATTTGTTTGGTCATCATCAAAGCTTGCGAGCAAAGTAACAAATAGTGACTCTAAATAAGCCGTTGAATTTTGTCGAATTGATATTTTGTCTTTATTTATTCTGATATCGAGTTTTTCTTTGTACAGGCCGTACCAATAAGCACTGTTGTGTTTGAGATTATTTTGATAATTGACGAACAGATAAAATTTATTATTATTGATTTTCTTTATTGGACTATTTTAGTTTCATTCTATTTGAAACGCCCTATCATTTAAAAAGGTCAATTTGCGACAAAATGCCACAGGAGACCCTTAAACGTTAAAGAAAGCCTTCTTTCCCGTAAATCATGCGTAATCACGTTGCGAAAACCCATAATTTTAGGATCGACGCAATACTACTACTGTTACCGTAGTAACAATAAATCCCTTAATTCCGCAATAATGCTCAACTAATTTCTACATGAAAATCTTAC